AAGAGAATGAGATCGGATTTCAATGTATGGCAGTAAGTCCTATTGATCCCTCCAGTTATCTCAGTATGACTGCAGTGTATTCATTCACTAAAACCACTCATTAGATACCAACTACACACCTGGCACTGCAGATGTAAAGGTCAGTCACACATGTTCTGAATTTACAGAGTTCACAGTAGCAGTGGAGGAAGATATATGTGGAAACAAAAAAGGCATCGATTCTATTCAGAGCACTGTTAGGGCACACTGGAGAGAGGGGTCTTTCTACCTAAGAAGATGAGGAATAGGGTCATCATAGAAGTGACTTTAAGTCTTAAAATTAAGAAGGGGATTCCAAGCTGCTTCAGGCAGAGACACACCGAGCTAAAACACAGAGGTATGAAACAGCATGGGGACTTTAGGAACTGCACAGTTCATTCTAACAGGAACAAAAGGCTCAAGGGGTCAAGAAATGAGGCTGTATGGAAAGAGGTTCAATGTAAGCACTTTATAAAATAGATTAATTTCTGATTCAATGAAGCATTTCTTGATCATTGTGTACAAGGCACTAAATTCATCAAGGAAAATTCATTAGGATGCATTGCCAGCACTTTGCAGACCTGATATTATTCAGCCTCAAGCTTTCCAGTGCCCAAAGGAAAATGCTGACTGCTTTTCACATATTTGAGTCAAAGATTTTTTTATATGGTCAACGAAGACTAATACAAGGGCAGTGGGATTTTCACAGAAGAATGCCATGTTGTTGAGAGCCTCTTAGATTTTCTCAACTGTGAGAGAGAAAACTGAAAATTTTGAAGACATTGAGTCTGGAGAGGGGATACCAATCACTGTCCAGTCAGGCGTTGGTGGGAATGGGGAAATGGCACAGGAATGCAAGCCTCTCCACCCTACCCCCGAAACTCCAGCCATACACTCATCATTTCACAAAATATGAATGAGTTAGCATTAAACATTTCAGAGTAAATAATTCCTTTTCCCGAAATGCATGAAGATAGAGTAACAGTCTTCTCACACTGTATTTTTAGGGTATGGAAAATTTAGAAGGTTAAAGAATTACTGCTTCAATTTTTCAGTTAAAAAAAATCAGGAAGCTCTGTTCATTCAGGCTATGCACCATGTGCACAGTCAAGAATTAGCAGAAACCCTCTGCATTTACAAACACTTTGTGCTATAAAAAGTAATTTTTAAAAAGCCACTTGTGTGTGTGTGTGTGTGTGTATATATATATATATATATTTAAAACCAAGGTTTTGATACTTTTTTACAAAAACTGCAAGAGAAAACAGATACCTGTCCAAACCATATACTTTTAAAATAGCATTTTTTTTTTCCATACAAGCTGTTGTTAATTTGGGGGTAAAGTGCTGGTTTGCAAACTTCATCCAATTGTTCCCAAGTGGATTTTCCTTGTTTGTCTTCCCCCACCAACCCTCAAGTTACCATATTCGATGTAAGAATCAGGCATGTTAGAATGTTGTGTCACACTAACCAGTTCTGCTCTTTTTGTCTTTTCATTCAAGTTCCATTAGCTTCTGTACGCGGTGCCCTTTGCAGTCTGGTGTCTCTTCCAGAGGCGAGGGGGCTGAAGATGGCGTGCTGCATCTCACTAGCTGTACTAACATAATCTTGGTAAACTGAAAACCAAATGTGGACATTTGTAAAATCAGTGCACTGTTTCTAGAGAGATATTAAATTCATTTTTAAAAAATCTTTAAGTATTGTTTCATTGTAATACTTTAATGAGGGGGAGTGAACTGAGTCCCTAATGTGTACCAGTATTCTACATACATTATCTCAATCTTTGTCAACAATTTGGTGAGGTAAATACTATCGATACTATCCACTCCCATTTTATAGATGAGAAAATGGGTGAAGTAACTGCCTAAAGTCACAAGGTTATTTTTAGTGCCCCCTAAGATCAATTGTAATGTAGCATTCTCTGCCTAAATTTTCCTTCTCTGCCTCTATATGACTAACTCCTATTTGTCCTTGAGTACTCCACTTAGGTAATGCCTCCTCCAGGAAGCCTTCCCTTCTCTCTAAGACTAGGTTAGATAACTCACCTCAGTACTTCCATAACAATTTTTGCCTACTCGCATCCCAATACTTCTGCCCTACCATTCATTCCCATGCCATTGGGGTTGCTTTTGCCAAGGTCATCCAGGACCTCCTCGATTATAAATCTGGTAAACATTTTCAGTCTTGATCTTTCTTGACCTGGAAGCAGTAGTTAACACTGTTAGCCACTCTTTTCTTGAAATACTCTTATTTTGGCTTCCATGATACCATGTTCGTGGTTTTTCTCCTATCTCTCTGGCCACATCTTCGTCTCCTTTGCCCACCCTTCAAATTATGGTATTCCACTTCAAATCCATCCACTTTTCTATCTCCTTTACTTTTTTTTTTTTTTTTTTTTAAGAGACAGGGTCGCACTCTGTTACCCAGGCTGGAGTACAGTGGTAGGATCATAGCTCACTGCAACCTTAAACTCCTGGGCTTAAAGCAATCCTCCTGCCTCAGCCTCCTGAGTAGCTGGGACTACAGGCACATGCCACAATGCCTGGCTAATCATTTTGCTTGCCTTTTTTGTTTTTTTCCTTCTTTTTTTCTTTTTTCTTTTTTTTTTTTTTTTTGTTTGACAAGGTCTCTTTCTCTGTTGCCCAGGCTGGAGTACAATGGCATGATCTCAGCTCACTGCAACCTCCGCCTCTTGGGCTCAAGCAATTATCCTGTCTCAGCCTCCCAAGTAGCTGGGGCTACAGGCGCATGCCATCCTGCCCAGCTAATAGATTACTTTAACTACTTATCTGTATGTCATACGTCTAGTCTTTTCATTTTCCAATCTAACCCACAACACTGCAGCCAAAGTGTCTTTCTAAAGTGCCATAGCTGTATCACCACCACTTATTTCCACTTTCCTGTTTAAAGCCCTTCAACTGCTTTGCTGGCACTAAAATTCAGTATTCTTGGATGTGCCCAAACTCTTTTAATATGGTTTATAAAGCCCTTCATGATTCAGCTTCTGCCCCATCTCCAGCCTCATCACTCACTGTTCTATATTCTAATCATACAGTTCTGGGCCTCCGTCTGGAACATTTCCTTCAGGAACATTTCCCTAAGGACCCTACACTGTATTAGGAGTCACCTCATGTGCTTCCATAGTACTCTGTGCTTCCTTTATTGGTAATCTTATCCTCACATTGTAATTGCTTGTATGCTCCTTAACTTCCTCCTCTGCAAGCTCTGTAAAGAACTGTCTTGCTCAACATTGTATCCTCTCTGCACATGACACTCAGTGGATGCTCAATAAATGATGCTGAATACAGGCACAGCAGACACACACAGACCATGCTCTTTCAGTTACACCACGTCTCATATCCAGAAACCTGGATTACTTTACAGCCTGACTGGAGTTGTGTGTCCTTTAAATTTCTCAACACTTCTGTTATTTGCCACATCTGAAGATCCCCAGATTCACTTATGATTTTTATAATTTTACTCCTGGAAAATAACCTTGTAGCAATTGCTTAATCCCTCTACACACTTAACTCTAATTACCACCTCAAAATTGTTGTGATGATTCGAAAAACAAGCACAGGTAATCCCATTCAGCGTAGGAGCTGACATTTATTAGGTGCTTGATACCTGGTGGTTCCCTTTTCTCTTTTTTTTTTTTTTTTTTTTTTTGAGATAGGGTCTTGCTTCGTCACCCAGGCTGGAGTGTAGTGGTGTGATCATGGTTCGCTGCAGCCTTAGCCTCCCAGGCTCAAATTATCCTCCTACCTCAACCTCCCAAGTAGTTGGGACTACAGGTGTGCACCACCACACCTACCTAATTTTTAAATTTTTTGTAGAGACAAAGTCTCCCTATCTTACCCAAGCTGGTCTCAAACTTCTGGGCTCAAGTGATCCTTCTGCCTCAGCCTCCCAAAGTGCTGGGATTACAGGTGTGAGCCACTGTGTCTAGCCCCCTTCTCTTTTATACAGTTCCCCTGTTACCACCAATATGCAGTGTTTTGTAATAAAAATGTCTTATGGTTTTATAGCAATTTACAGTTTCCGAGACATTGTTTCTTATAACAGTTCTGCTAGGTGTACATTTTTATGCTCATTTTAAAGAGAAGGAAACTCTGAAGTCTAAAAAGTTGAGTCAGTTCACCTTTGGTTACAATGAGTCATTGTTACACAAAAGATTATTTTAACCAGTGTCCAATGATTTTTTTCCCCCACCACACCTACTCTACACTCTGCTGCTAATGCTTTTTCAGGGAGAAAAGGACTCATTGTTAAGACTGGGGGCCATGCGCAGTGGCTCATGCCTGTAATCCCAGCACTTTGGAAGGCTGAGGCGGATGGATCACCTGAGGTCAGGAGTTTGAGACCAGCCTGGCCAACATGGTGAAACCCTGTCTCTACTAAAAATACAAAAATTAGCTGGATGTGGTGGCACGTGCCTGTAATCCCACCTACTTGGGAGGCTAAGGCAGGAGAATCACTTGAACCCAGGAGGTTGAGGTTGCAGTGAACTGAGAACCAGCCGTTGCACTCTAGCCTGGGCAACAAGAGCAAAACTCTGTCTCAAAAAAAAAAAAAAAAAAGACTGGGGGTAGGAATCAGAGACTGCTGTCCCGACTTACAGAATCTTATACAGTTCTAGTTGCCAGGCCCCAAGAATGATGTCATCTCAGCACTGTCTCTAGAACCATTCATTCTCTCTAAGTCTGGAACTTAGACAAGTGAAAGCAGGCTCCTATTAAATAATTATGATCTTGATTGCTCTAGCCCTACTCAACTGTAAATTTTTTCCAGAGCCAGAATGGCTTCACAGAGGACAACTTTGCCCTGAAAAGAGTCTCTTTGGTCAGTGGTCCTCAACTCTGACTCAACTGAGAGCTTTACAAAGAGTACCAATGCCCAGTTCCAGCGCTGGAGATTTTAATTGGCTTGGGGTAGAGCCCTGGCATCAGTATTTTTAGAGGCTCCCCAGGTAATTCCAATGTGCAGCCAGGCTGAGAATCACTGCTCCGTAAGTGGGATGTCTGGGGAGTGGGAGATCAAATAACTTCTCACAGCACCTATTCTAGAGATCAGTGGGGCAGAAAGATAGAAATAAAAGGTGGAAAAGGACGAAATGGGTAAGTGTGGGTGAACTAGTTCCAGGGAAACGGCAATCTCCACTGTGGATTCAGGGAAGGCGTCACTGAGGAGGGCTTTCTTAACAGTTCATTCAGGTCAATGGAAGCCATCTTGAAGCACACACATCGTGCGCGGCATCCTCCGGGGAGGTCGGGTCATCTCACCCTATTTTACTGCCGAGATGACCTAGGTCCAGAGACGGTAAAGAGCGGTGTACCACTCACACAAGTCGGGGGGGGGGTCCTGTGAACTGAGGTTGAGCCTGGCGGGCGCAAGGCTCGGGGTGTTCGGCCCGAGATCTTTAAGCGAAGCCACTAGACCCCGCGTTCAAAGCCCAGAGGTAGGCAGGCGGCTGGCTCTCGGCCTCAGGCCTGGAGAGAACCCAGCGGGTACCAACCTCAACCTCGCTCCCGCGTCCAGGTGGAGAGGCGGAACTGGTCGGCCCCGCCTCCGGGTTAAACAAAGTTCGTTACCTCCTAGGCGTGAGGGGGTGTGGCAGTCTTATTGCCACTTCCGGGCGAATAGGTTAGCGAGAAGGAACCCCTCCATTACGCGACGGCGTGGTCTGACGTCACTTCCGCGCGCCGCCGCAAACGTCAGTGTCGGGCGCAGACCGCGGCAGTGCGGCTGGCTGTTGGAAGTTCAGGCTCGGTTGTCTTTTGGGAGCCATGGAGAGTGACTTTTATCTGCGTTACTACGTGGGGCACAAGGGCAAGTTCGGCCACGAGTTCCTGGAGTTTGAGTTCCGACCGGACGGTAAAAGCAGCCTGCCGCCCGCCGGGAGCGGGACCAGGCCTGGGGGCGGGCGAGTGGGGAGGCAGAGGGTCGGAAATCTGTGGGGAACTAGAGGAGGAAGGGGCTGAGACCTGTGCAGTGCGGATCTGAAAGGAGCGCCCCTGTGTCTGCTCCACGGCGTCTTTTTATCCATACAACAAACGTTGGCTGAACGCCCACTGTGTGCCAGGCTTTGTTCCACTCTGGGGATACGGCAGCGAAGATAGACAAACTTCCTCTCTCGTGGAACTTGTGTTTTATTGCTGGGAGAGAGATCATAAAAAGATGATTCCAGATAGCAGTGAGTGGTCAGAAAATATGGTAGAATAATCGCTGGATGGGCTGCTTTTAGATAGGTTGGCCATTAGAGAGCTCTAATGGTATATTGCAGCTGAGCCCTAATTAGCAAGAAGGACCCAGCCTTGTGAAGCTCACAAGGAAGACCATTCTACCCAAAGGGAATACCAGAAGTCAAGGCTGCAGGGCGGGAATGAGCTTAGGCATGTCTCAGGTGGTCAGTGTGATTGAAGAGTGGTGAGCTGGGAGATGGCAGGAGATGATGTCGGATAGGTAGTAGGAGCCGCACCTTGTAGATCTTTATAGACCATGGTAAAGAGTTTGGACTTGGAAGGCCTTTTTTTTTTTTTTTTTTTTTTTTGAGACGGGTTTCGCTCTTTTTGCCCAGGCTGTAATGCTATGGCGCGATCTCGGATCATTGCAACCTCCGCCTCCCGAGTTAAAGCGTTTCTCCTGCCTCAGCCTCCCGAGTAGCTGGTATTACAGGCACCCACCACCACGCCCGGCTAATTTTGTATTTTTAGTAGAGACAGGGTTTCACCAGGTTGGCCAGGCTGGTCTCGAACTTCTGACCTCGGGCGATCCGCTGGCCTCGGTGTCCCAAAGTGCTGCTATTACAGGCGTGAGCCACCGCGCCTGGCCGGGCTTGGAAGGTTTTAAGCAGAGAAGAAATGTGATCTGTTCTTGAAAAAGCATTCTGGTTATTGGGTGCGGAATGGGCAACAGTGAAAACAGGGCTATTGATTAGGAGACTGTTTTCAAGACAAGAAAGATGTTGGGGGCCAGGCGCAGTGGCTCACGCCTGTAATCCCAGGACTTTGGGAGGCCGAGGTGTGCGGATAACTTGAGGTCAGGAGTTCGAGACCAGCCTGGCCAACATGGTGAAACCCCGTCTCTACTAAAAATACAAAAATTAGCCGGACGTGGTGGCAGACGCCTGTAATCCCAGCTGTTCGGGAGGCTGAGACAGGATAATTGCTTGAACCTAGGACGGAGGTTGCAGTGAGCCGAGATAGTGCCAGTGTACTCCAGTCTGGGTGACAGAGCGAGACTGTGTCACAAAAAAAAAAAAAAAAAAAAAAAAAGATGTCGGTTGGGACTACAGAGATAGTAGAAATGGAGAGAAAGATTTAGGAAACTGTTGGAGGCAGAATCAACTGGACTTTGATCGTTGATAGGATTTTTTTGGCGGAGGCACTGTGGTGAAGGAAGGAGGAATCAAAGATGACAGAAAACATCCATTAAGCGGGCCACAAGGATGTATCTGACAGGCCCGGACTGTGAGGGAGATGGATTTGTAAGCAGGGACCAAACAGCGTATTAGGTGTTGTGGTAAAAAGAAACAGAGGAGACTTGCAGCAGAGAAGGGGCACCTAGCCAAGCCTGAGGGTCAGAGGAGGCTTCCTACATAAAATGATGGGAGGAGGGGATGTGAGGTATTGGTTAGGAGACCAAGATGAGTCAAGAAGGCATTTTAGACAGCATGCAAAGAGGCTGAAAACCAAAAAGTGCTTGGGATGTTTCAGGCAGAAACCAAGTTGTTCGACTCCAGCTGTGTGAAAGAAGAATATTGCAGGAGTGAGGCTGGAAAACCAGGCAGGGACTTGGCTTAGCCATAAGCCATGTTGAGGAGTTTGGATTTTTTTTTTTTTTTTTTTTTTTTGGGATGGAGTCTTGCTCAGTCGCCCAGGCTGGAGTGCAGTGGCGCGATCTGGGTTCACTGCAAGCTCCGCCTCCCGGGTTCACGCCATTCTTCTGCCTCAGCCTCCCAGGTAGCTGGGACTACAGGCGCCCGCCACCACGCCCGGCTAATTTTTTACATTTTTAGTAGAGACGGGGTTTCACCGTGTTAGCCAGGATGGTCTCGATCTCCTGACCTCGTGATCCGCCCGCCTCGGCCTCCCAAAGTGCTGGGATTACAGGCGTGAGCCACCGCGCCCGGCCGGATTTTAACCAGGAAGGCAGCGGAAAGCCATTGACTTTATCAAAGTATTAGAGTAACCTAATCTGATAGATCTGTTACCACATCACCTTGTCCACTGTATGGACAGTGAACTGAATGTGAAGAAACTTGAGGCAGAGAGACAGCACAGAGACTGTTGGAATAAATTCACTGGGCTCATCTCACACGTATGTCTTCTAGTCTACATGTCTTCTGTTTCCTTCTATTTTCTCCTCATCCCCACCATATATTCACATTAACCTGTTAGATGCACACATGGACAAAGGGTCTTGTGTACCAAATGTGCTCAGTGATAAAAGCAACAGCTTTTCCATCGCAGAAATAGAGTGTGGCACAGTCACATGATAATATATGTAAACAGCATCCTACAGTTTTCAAAATGTTTTCACAACTTATTTGAGCCTCAGGAGGTCCTATGTGCTGGTAAGTTATCATTTACTCTGCCTGTTTTCAGAACATTCACCTGCAAAAATGTGATTCAACAAAGTCAGAAAAGAGCCTGCCTGTGTTTTTACCTCACCTGAGCTGCTTTTTGCAGTAGTTGTGTCTCAGCTGTATATTTGGCTGTTTAAGCCTGAAGTGAAGAACTGAAAGACTAGTATTGTTGAACTGCCTTAAGAGTAAATAATAAATCTCTTAGACACTTTGAGCAAGTTGGATACATTTTAGGCAACTGCCGATAGTCTTGGTATGGCATTGATGCTTTATTCATGTTTTTATTATATGTTGAATTTGGCTTTTGTCCCCACAGGGAAGTTAAGATATGCCAACAACAGCAATTACAAGAATGATGTCATGATCAGAAAAGAGGTATGCCTTCTGAGAGGCCTTCATTTTCTACATTTCAACTTTTTGTCTTGCATTGTTTTTGTTGTATCTAGTAGTATTGAAAGGTAAAGAACAGGGAGAGAGACATGTCTGTAGACAGCTTCTGGATTATTTCCCAAATCATCTTTTAGTTGGGATTTTTTTATTTTACAATGTGGAATCAATTACTGGTAACCATTGACATACCTTGGTTTGAACCCTGAGTCTGCTGCTTACTACCTCATGTGACCGTGGGCAAGTTCCTGGCTGAACTTGATTAAGTCTCTGTTTCTTCACCTGCAAAAACAGGGAAAATAAAAGCTACCTCCCACTCCCAAGTGCTGTCATAAAATTAAATGTGTTGTACTTAAAGTGCTCTGTATATTCCCTGGCACATAGTACCCAATGGAGAGCTATTTAATTTGCATCTGAGTGGGAAAGGGAGCATGGGAAAGCAGTTGATATCATTGAATGCATGTTAGATGTCAGGCATGGCATCTTATTTAACCCTGATTATAAGCCCATGTGATGGGGGAGGGTATTATAGCCCCCTTACAAATAAGAAAATAAAGGCCCAGGTATTAATTATGAGACTTGTTCAGAGTTACCCCTGCTAGTAAGAGATACAGCAGGAATTCCCAATTAAAGGAATTCCCCAGTAAAGTTTGTATTCTCCTCTCTGTGATTTCTACTACATCATTAAGGCTTCATCAAAGCTACTCTTTTAACCACTCTGCCACCTTTGAAAATGTCTTAGCATATATTTTTCATACTGTTGTTTTAGCTATCAGTTTTATGCTTATTCACACATGTCAACATCCTCACTATTTTTTTACACAGGCATATCTTTTCAAATACATTTTGCTCCTCAGGAGCATATTACCTAGTTAAGAATAACTGGCCGGGCGCGGTGGCTTAGCCTGTAATCCCAGCACTTTGGGAGGCGAAGGCAGGCGGATCACGAGGTCAGGAGATCAAGACCATCCTGGCTAACATGGTGAAACCCCGTCTGTACTGAAAATGCAAAAAAATATAGCCGTGGTGGTGGGTGCCTGTAGTCCCAGCTACTCGGGAGGCAGAGCTTGCAGTGAGTCGAGATTGCGCCACTGCACCCCAGCCTGGGCCACAGAGTGAGACTTCATCTCAGAAAAAAAAAAAACCAGGGCATGTAGGTGTTGCTCTCTCTTTTGTTTTGCTATAACAAAATACCTGAGACTGGGTAATTTTTAAGCCGTAAAAATATATTTCTCACAGTTTTGGAGGCTGGGAAGTCCAAGATCAAGGCACTGGCAGGTTCAGTGTCTAGTGAGGGCCCAGTCTCTGCTTCCACAACTGTGCCTTGTTTTTGCATCCTCCAGAAGGGATGAATGCAGTGTTCTCATATGGTGAAAGAACAAGCAAGGGGCCAGCTAGTTCTCTTAAGCTGTCTCCTAAGGCACTAATCCTATCCATGGGGGCTCTGCCCTCAAGGCCCAATCAACTCTTAAAGGCCCTATCGATTAACACTGTTGCATTGGGGATTAATTTCAACATGAATTTTGGAGGAGACACAAAAATTCAAACCATAGCAGGGGGCATTCACAGATCTATTTTGGGTTTCTTTGTGAGTTGGCTGTGTGGACAGGCGGAAGGGCCATGTGAACAGGATGTACCAGGAGGTAGTAACAGCTAGATGGGGGACTGAGGTGCAGTTTATTAGATACTTCTGACCCTGTCCCTCATCTGCATCATGCCGAGGTTGAGCATGAATGCCTTCCCACTTAAGGAGATGCCAGAAATAAGTCTGCAGGAACAGTTATTTTTATCTTCCATCACTATCTGAGTCAAAGCATTGCTTAAGGATACAATATACATTTTGTCTTTTAACTTGCTTTCAGGCTTATGTACATAAAAGCGTGATGGAGGAACTGAAGAGAATAATTGATGACAGTGAAATTACCAAAGAGGATGATGCATTGTGGCCTCCTCCTGACCGAGTGGGCCGGCAGGTATGTTTTATTGATTATCCTGTAGTGCAGAAATCTTACAAATAAGATGAGGTTTAGTGCTCTGCATATGATAGTGAAACTGTGTGCATGTGTGTGTGGTGGTGGTGGTGGTGGTGGTCAGTCCTGCAGAAAGCAGATTGCCAGCACCTTGGTCTAAGGAAGCATTAATCCCACAGGAAGGAACAGAGAGAACAAGTGCTGCTGGCCACCAAGAACCCAGCCTTGAATTTCTTCTTAGGACCCCCCACACTCCCTCCTCCACTTAAAGCTTTTGCTGCTTATCTCATTTACTAACTACTATGGACAAAGCATTGTGGAGATACAAAGAGAAGTAGAACATGATTATTTCACCAATCTAATGAAAGGAAAATCATACAAATAATTCAGTATATGTATTTAAATTCATGTGTATTTATATACATTATATATTCATTCCGAGCACCGTTTTGGTAACTAAAAAATAAAAGCCACTGTCATATTGAACTCAATTAACAGAAAAGGTATTTTCACTCTGACTGCTACCATCCTAATCCAGACTTCTGGACTTCTAATAGGTTCCCTTGTTTTTCCTCTTGTTCCATACCATCCATTTTTCCATCCTGAAAGCCAGTGTAATTTTTTTTTTTTTCCCGAGACGGAGTCTCGCTCTGTCGCCCAGACTGGAGTGCAGTGGCGTGATCTCAGCTCACTGCAACCTCCACCTCCTGGGTTCAAGTGATTCTCCTGCCTCAGCCTCCCGAGTAGCTGGGATTACAGGCACACACCACCATGCCCAGCTAATTTTTGTATTTTTAGTAGAGATAGGGTTTCACCATGTTGGCCAGGCTGGTCTTGAACTCCTAACCTCAGGTGATCCGCCCACCTTGCCCTCCCAAAGTGCTGTGATTACAGGCGTGAGCCGCCGCGCCTGACCAGTGTGATCTTTAAAAATGTAAATTTGCTTATGTATTCCACTGATTTAAACTCCAATGGCTTCCCACTGTACTTAAAATTTAAACTCCCACCTTATCTTTTACCATGCTTCCAGTCTGTCATGGTGTTCAAACCTTACTAGCTTCATTTCTGTTCCTCAGAAATACCTAGGTGGTTCTTACTTCAGGGCCTTGGCACTTGCCACATTCTGCCTAAAATATTCTTCCTTTAACTCTGTACAAGACTCTCTCTATTATTGAGGTCTTCAAAAGTCGGTTCCTCAGTGATATCTTGCCTGTCCATTCAATCTAAGAAGTCTCTTCCCATCATTAAGAAAAAGATCTGTTGTGCTGTCTTTGTGTGTGTGTGTGTGTGTGTGTGTGTTTTCTTTTTGCTTTCAGTTTCATCACGATATGTGTTGTCTTTGTAGCACTTATTGTCTAAAATTGTCTTACTTGCTTTTCAATTTTTTCACTGCTATATCTCCAGTGACTAAAATAGTGCCCATGTATAGTAAAAGCCCAATAATAATTTGTTAAATTAATATGAAAACCCATATAAACTCATGCCTAATAAACTCAAAATGATGGACCAACCCTTCAAGAAGAGTTTTTTTTAAAAATCCTACCCTCAGTACTTACTAAAGTTAACTTTAATTTATGTTCAAGGAATCTCAGTAATATCATATATATGTATTTTGCTTTACCATTTATAAAATTTTTATTTCTGTTAGCTTGTTCAACCATCACAACAATTCTGTGAAGAGGGAAGGGCATATTCCTTTATACCAGCAATAAGCCATTGGTACTGTAATTAAAATCAGTCCCATTAATAATTACAAGAAAAGTTAATAAAGAACTTGGGAATGCATTTAACAAGTTGTACAAAACCTGAAAGGGCTTTATAGAAGGACAAAAGTATGTATCGTTTTTGTGGATGGGAAGATTCAGTATCACATAGATGTCAGTTTTCAACAAAGTAATTTATAAATTCACTCTTCATTCAAATAAAAATCACAGTAGGGTTTTTTCCCGTTAAAATCAAATAGAATAAGCATTAAATTCATGGAAAATCAGAGGCAAGAGTAGCCAAAATAATACTGGAGATTTCTTATAAAACTGTGGTCATTTATAGTATGATATTGCCTCGGGAATTGACAGCTAAACCAATGGAACAGCATAGACAGCCCAGAAACCAACTTATGAATATATGGAAACTTGGAACAGCATACTACAGAGGTGGACTTTCACATTAATGGGAAAAGAATGAGTTATTTAACAAATTGTACCAGGACAGCTGACGACATATTTATGGAATGTTTTTAAATTAGGCTATAGAAATCAAAAATTTTAAACAGAATATAGGCTATCTTTTATTATTTATGGATAGAGAAGGAGTTTTAAAAACTCCTTAAGGGGTAAGATTGGTAAATTTGACTTCTTTACAACTTAGGTTTGACAAAAGATGGCAAGATAAAGTTGAAAGATAAGCCATAGACTGGAAGAAGGTATCTGCAAAACATAAAACTGGCAAGAGTTTTCTATCCAGAATATATAAAGAATTAGAAAGTAATAAAAAGACAGTCCCGTGGCAGAATGTGCAAAGGTTATGAATAACTTACAAGATCAAACAAGTGGCTAATAAATGTGAAAAGATTTACACCTTCATTTGTAAAATGAAAGAACAACAGTGAGATACCATTTCAGACCCATTAGAATAACAACAGAAAAAATCTGCCGAGTTTAAAAAATGATACGAGAAAAGAGTGAGAGTAAAATTAGTATAACTGTGTTAGGGAGTAATTTTGTGGTATCTGGGAACATTTAAAATACTAGGAATTATATGGAGACATTTTCACATATGTATAAGATGTATAGAAGAATATTCTTGCTACATTGTTTATAGGAACAAAAATTCAGAACTTAAGTTTATTTCAGTAGGGAAATGGAATACTATAGCATTTAAAACTAATGAGCTAGATCTGTGTAACTCAACATTGATAAATCTCAAAAACAATGTGGAATGAAAAATGCAAAAAGTATGTATAATATGACTATTTTTGTAAAAATTTTACAACACGCTACCACGTCTAGGCCAGGCGCAGTGACGCATGCCTACATTCCCAGCACTTTTTTTCTAAATTGGGAGGCCAAGGTGGGAGGATGGCTTGAGGCCAGGAGCTCAAGACCAGCCTGAGCAGCACAGTGAGACCTTTTTTCTACACACAAAAAAAAAAAACCCTAAAAATTAACTGGGCATGGTGGCGCATACCTGTAGTCTTAGCTATTCGAGAGGCTAAAGGTGCAGGATGGCATGAGCCCAGGAGCTCAGGGTTACAGTGAGCTATGATCCTACCACTGCACTTCAGCTTCAGTGACAGAGTGAGACCCTGTATCTAAAAAGAAGTAAGTGAAAACATACTACCAAATCTGAAACAAGAATGGAACAAATCAGGGGATACAGGAGGGAGAACAGAATGGGAGACATAAATTTTGTAATATTTTATTTCTTTTAAAAAAAATCTGACACAAGTATGGCAATAATTTATAAATCTGAGTATTGGAAACATCTCAGTTTTTTCTATTTTCTGATTGAATTATAACAAAAAGTATACATGAATCAAAAAGAAGAAAAAGTAAGTAGGGCTCACAAGAATATAAATTCCACAGGGCAGAGCTCTTTGGTTTGCTTGGTTTTACTTATCTGTCCTGAGCACTGAGAACAATACTGAGCACCCAGCAGGCTACACATAGATCCTTTTTGAAGGTTTGTGATACTCATGTCACTGTTTGGAAATTGAGACCCACCATCATACAGGTAGGGAGTGACAAAGTGGGGATCAAACCTAAGGTCTGGAAGTTGCCTAGATAGGTTAGATCTTTTAGTTTTTGTTTTTGTTTGTTGTTGTTGGAGACAGGGTCTCATTCTGTTTCCTAGGCTGGAGTACAGTGATGAGATCATGGCTCACTGCAGCCTTGACCTCCTGGGGTAAAGGGATCCTCCCACCTCAGCCTCTCTAGTAGCTGGGACCACGGATGCACGCCACCACATCCAGCTAGTTTTTGTATTTTTTGTAGAGATGAGGTTTTGCCAAGTTGCCCAGACTGGTCTTAAACTCCTGGGCTCAAGTGATTCTCCTGCATTGGCTTCCCAAAGTGTTGGGATTACAGGTGTGAGTCACCATACCCAGTCCAATCGTTCGGCATTTTTAAAACATAGATATATTCATGTTACTCCACATTGTTGATGATGAAAACTCATACAAAATAGTACATAGGCTGGGTGCAGTGAGTCATGCCTGTAATCCCAGCACTTGGGAGGCCGAGGCAGGCGGATCATCTGAGGTCAGGAGTTTGAGATCAGCCTGGCCAACATGGTGAAACCCTGTCTCTATTAAAAATATAAAAAAATCCATCCTGGCTAACATGGTGAAACCCTGTCTGTACTAAAAATACAAAAAAAATTAGCAGGGCATGGTGGCAGGCGCCTGTAGTCCCAGCCACTCAGGAGGTTGAGGCGGGAGAATCACTTGAACCTGGGAGGCAGAGGTTGCAGTGACCCGAGATCATGCCAGTGCACTCCAGCCTGGGCAACAGAACAAGACTGTCTCAGGAAAAGAAAAAAAAAAAAAAAGACCTACGTAGATTTTTCCAAATCTGAGAAATGGTAGAGCCTTGAGGGTACAACTTCTTTTAAATATGAGCTGTATTTATCTCTTGTTTCTAGTGTCCAGCACAGTTCAGTGCTCAGAGTGAAGTGCCCTTGTTTTTGTGACCGTCTGTAGTCAAGTTTGTGTGATTTGGCAAATGATTAATCCTGTGTGTTTGATGAATAAGCCAATTCTACTTAGATTTTCTAAAATGTTTCTAGGAGCTTGAAATCGTCATTGGAGATGAACACATTTCTTTTACAACATCAAAAATTGGTTCCCTTATTGATGTCAATCAATCCAAGTAAGTGTGCATGATCTTTACATCCAGTTGTGTCTGTTTTGGAGCAGTTTGGTAAGAAACCTTAACCAAATTGGGACCATTATGGGAAGATCTGGGGCAAATGCAAATTGCAGGTGGGCAGCTTTGTCCTCCTTGTTAGGGAGGGACCCCAAATTATTTTTGAAAACTTGCTCCTATTACTTTTAGTGTTTCATTCAGCCATTGCTACTGCATTCTTCTTGTTGACACACACATACAGATTAATGCATAGGAGCAGCCAGAAAAAAAAATGGAATATGCCTAAAGAGTGCTCATGATAGGCCGGGCGCGGTGGCTCAAGCCTGTAATCCCAGCACTTTGGGAGGCCGAGACAGGTGGATCACGAGGTCGGGAGATCAAGACCATCCTAGCTAACACGGTGAAACCCTGTCTCTACTAAAATATACATAAAAAAACTAGCCGGGCGAGGTGGCGGGCGCCTGTAGTCCCAGCTACTCGGGAGGCTGAGGCAGAAGAATGGCGTGAACCCGGGAGGCGGAGCTTGCAGTGAGCCGAGATCCGGCCACTGCCCTCCAGCCTGGGCGACAGAGCAAGACTCCGTCTCAAAAAAAAAAAAAAAAAAAAAAAAGAGTGCTCATGATAAACCGTAGAGTTACCGAGTCTGAATAGCTTTCTTAGTGTGACTGTTCAGACTGGCACATCTTAAAATCTGACTTCAGTGAAACTTGACATTTTTTAGGATCTAAATTTTATTTGATTTTAAATTTATTATTATTATTTTGAGATGGAGTTTCGCACTGTCGCCTGGGCTGGAGTGCAGTGGCGCAATCTCAGCTCACTGCAACCTCCGCCTCCTGGGTTCAAGTGATTCTCCTGCCTCAGCCTCCCAAGTAGCTTGGGCTACAGGCACCTGGCACCACACCTGGCTAACTTTTTTGTATTTTTAGTAGAGATGGGGTTTCACCATTTTGGCCAGGCTGGTCTCGAACTCCCAACCTCAGGTGATCTGCCTGCCTCGGCCTCCCAAAGTGCTGGAATTACAGACGTGAGCCACCATGCCTGGCCTTAAATTTATTATTTTTTACAAAAGCATTGGTTTGTTGAAAAGGGATAAAAATTTTAAAATTCATGTTGTCAGTGGGGTAGATTATCAAGTTGAGGCATGAACCTATGTACTACAAAGAATCCTTAGAATTTGGCAACTTCTTTGGCTCTTAAGTTTTGAGGATTCAGGATTAGATACGGCTCACTTTTAGCAAATGTTGGGCATGATTGTCTTCCTTTGGGCACTCTTCCTCCTTCTTAGCCAGTAATGCCACAGTAATCTTCAACCTCTTGGTCCTGGTTAGTACTACTACTTTTTAAAAAAGTGTTCCTAACTCTGAAAGTAATACATGCTCATTGTAGAAAATACAGGAAAGGTAGAAAAGTAGAAAGGGGAAAGTCATCCACAATCTTATCAATCAGACAACCCTTATTAATATCTTGCAGTGTTTCTTTTTAGTCTTTTTTTCTGTGCATTAATAGAATATATACTTTTTAAAAAGCATAAAAAATACAGTTGATTATTTTAATTATATTTTTTCACTTAATGTAAGCATTTCCCTATATTAAAAACTCAGCATATTTAAATTACCTCATAATATACCATTTTAATATATAGTCTTTTCCTTTTTTAGGGACACTTGATTGGTCAAAGTTTTAATACCGTAATGCAAAGTTTTAATGTTCCTTTGCAAGGAACATCTTGATAGAGAAATAATTGGGATTATTAAATGGTATCTTTCGCCAGTTTTCTCTCAATGTTTTAAACTTTTTTTTTTTCCTTTTGCATTTTAGGGATCCAGAAGGCTTACGAGTATTTTATTATCTTGTCCAGGACCTGAAGTGTTTGGTCTTCAGTCTTATTGGATTACACTTCAAGATTAAACCAATCTAGATTGAATATTGGTGTGGACATGGGGGAGTGGGTGGGAGTAGAAAATTTTGTGTATATCAGGGCAGTATTTTTTTATAAACTATAAATGATTGTCTTTAATAAATAAGTGATAAAATCCAATTTTTATTATTTTATAAAGATCTGAACATGTGAACTGTTCTCAATTACTTTGTAAAACACTAACATTCTATGTGAAGTATTGCCCCAAAATCAAGTCTAATCAACTCTCTAAACTACCATTTTATAGGAAATAAGAGAATACAGGAACATGTTTTAAAAATACAGTGGGACTTCAATCAGCCATATTGAGAAGAAATGGCAAATGATCTGGTTTCTTCAATAAATTACAAGGGAAACGGAATGGGAGCTTATAAAGGAGACTTAAGAGACACGTAATACAATGTTTGGACCCTATTTGGATAATGATTCAAAAAAATGTAAAATTAGACCAGATGTGGTGGCTTACACCTGTAATCCCAACACTTTGGGAGGCCGAAGCCGGCAGATCGCCTGAGGTCAGGAGTTCAAGACCTGCCTGGCTAACATGGTGAAACCCTGTCTCTACTAAAAATACAAACATTAGCTGGGCGTGGTGGCGGGAGCCTGTAATCCCAGCTACTTAGGAAGCTGAGTCAGGAAAGTTGCTTGGACCCAGGAGGCAGAGGCTTCAGTGAGCCAAGATCGTACCACTGCACTCCAGCCTGGGTGACAGAGCGAGACTCCATGTCAAAAAAAAAAAAAAAAAAAAGGTAGGATTAATACCATTAAAGAAATTTAACACTGGTTTGATGATTTAGGTATGAAATAGTATGGTGGTTGGAGTTTTTAAAATCAACTTTTATAGATACAAATATTTTAGGTTTTCATAGGTATTTCAGTGTGGGGGAAAATGCTTTGGTTTCTTACATGATACAGGATAAAATGTCTGGTCTCAGAAAAGTTTCCCATTAATCCATTTTAAAATCAGAATACCAACAGCCATTCAGGACCAAGGCCAAGTTGTATAGATAGTGTGGGAATTTGTTCAGCAGGTAGACCTGTAGACAACTTTTTCTTTCTGCTAAATTGTGTGGGTTAAGCACAGTACTGGTTTAACAGATTGCACCTGCTGAAAGGAACTAGGTCTTACTAAGCCTCATTTGAAGGGAAGTGATTAGCCTAAACTTACCCCACTAAAAACAGGCCAGCCTGGGACAAGGTCCCAAGTGTCCTGACTCCTAGACCCATTCTTTTTCCACCACACTCTACTCCTTCAAAGACTATGGGGCAAGTTAAGAACAGCACTGAGATGTCAGGGTTCCTGACTCCAGTGCACCTCCTCCTATAAGGGTACTTGGGGCAATGAAGCAAGTTGGTAGTAAAGTAGACATCAAAAAATGACACTCTAAAGAACTGACGGGACCTCAGGTGATAAGTCTTTTTTTGTTTTCTGAGGCAAAAAAGAACTTTAGTGTAGAAAAATATTCTTGGCTAGGTGCGGTGGCTCACCCTGTAATCCCAGCACTTTGGGAGTCTGAGGCGGATGGATCACCTGAGGTCAGGAGTTTGAGACCATCTTGGCCAACATGGTGAAACCCCATCTCTACTAAAAATAAAACATTAGCTGGGTATGGTGGCACACGCCTGTAATCCCAGCTACTCAGGAGGCTGAGGCAGGAGAATCACTTGAATCCGGGAGGCGGAGGTTGCTGTGAGACGAGATTTTGCCACTGCACTCCAGCCTGGGTGACAAGAGTGAAATTCTGTCTCAAAAAAAAAAAAAAAAACAGGCATGGTGGCTCATGCCTGTAATCCCAGCACTTTGGGAGGCCGAGGCAGGCGGATCACCTGATGTCAGGAGTTTGAGACCAGCCTGACCAACATGGAGAAACCCCATCTCTCCTAAAAATACAAAATTAGCCTGGCATGGTGGTGCATGCCTGTAATCTCAGCTACTCAGGAGGCTAAGACAGGAGAATTGCTTGAATCTGGGAGGCAGAGGTTGCGGTGAGCCGAGATCATGCCATTGCAATCCAGCCTGGGCAACAAGAGCAATATTAGGTATTTATTGTCTCAAAAACAAACAACAGCAGCAGCAGCAAAAGAAATAAAAACAGGGTCTGACTGGTCTCAAACTCCTGTGCTGAAGCCATCCTCCTACCTCAGCCTCCCAAAGTGCTGGAATTATAGGTGTGAGCCTCTGTGCCCAGTCTCTCCCTCTCTCTCTCTCTATATCTATCTATCTATCTATCTATCTATCTATCTATCTATCTATCTATCTATCTATCTATCTATCTATCTATGTATATCTATGTATATCTCACCCAGGCTGGAGTTTAGTGGTGCAATCTTGGCTGACTGCAACCTCCGCCTCCCAGGCTCAAGTGATCCTCCCACCTCAGGCTCCCAGGAAGCTGGGACCATAGGCATGTGCCACCATGCTCCACTAATTTTTTGTATTTTTAGTATGTGGTTTTGCCATGTTGCCCCAGCAGGTCTTGAACTCCTGAGCTCAAGCGATCCACCAGCCTTGGCCTCCCAAAGTGCTGGAATTATGAGCATAAACCACCGTGCCTGGCCCCTATTTATATCTTATACTGTCTATGTTTTGAAAAGTTATTTTTGATAGGTTCATCTTTTAGTCTTGCTACTCAAGATATGATTAGTAGTTTACACATAATTAGTGTTAAAATCTTTTGCATTTGTCTGTGTAGTTACTATTCCCAATGAGTTTTGTGCCATCAGATGATTTCTCATTGCTTGTTAACATCCTTTTCTTTCAGACTGAAGAACCTCTTTAGCATTTCTTGAAGGACAGGTCTGGTGTGTTGACAAAATCCCTCAGCTTTTGTCTGTCCAGGAAGTCTTTATTTTTCCTTCATGTCTAAAGGATATTTTTGCTGTAAATACTATTCTAGGATAAATGTTTTTTTTCCTTCAGTACTTTAAATGTCATGCCACTCTCCCCTGGCCTGTAAGCTTTCCACCGAGAAGCCTGCTGCCAGATGCATTGGAGCTTTGTGTGTTGTTTCTTCTTTCTTGCTGCTTTTAGGATCCTTTCTTTATCTTTGACCTTTGGGAGTTTGACTATTAAATGACATGAGGTAGTCTTATTTGGGTTAAATCTGCTTGGTGTTCTATAACTTTCTTGTACTTGAATATTTATATATTTCTGTAGGTTTGGAAAGTTGTTATTCCTTTGAATAAACGTTCTATCCTAATTTCTCTCTACCTTCTCTTTAAGACCAGTAACTCTTAGATTTGTCCATTTGTAGCTATTGTAGGCGTGCTTCATTCTTTTTTATTATTTTTTCTTTCAATTCTTCTGTGTATTTTCAAATAGCCTGTCTTCAAGCTCACTAATTCTTTCTTCTGCTTGATCAGTTCTCATGTTGAGAGACCCTGGTGCATTCTTTGGTATATCAGTTGAATTTATCAGCTCCAGAATTTCTATTTGATTTTGAAAATTATCTCCATCTCTTTGTTAAATTTATCTGGCAGGATTCTGAGTTCCTTCTCTGGGCTATCTTGAATTTCACTGAACTTCCTCAGTGACAGTGAATTCTCTGTCTGAAAGGTCACATATCTCTGTCACTCTGGGATTGGTCACTGGTGCCTTATTTAGTTCATTTGGTTAGGTCATGTTTTCTTGGATGGTATTGATGTTTGTGAGTGTTGGTCAATGCAGAGCATTGAAAATTAGGTATTTATTGTAATTTTCACAGTTTGGGCTTATTTGTACCCATCCTTCTTCAAAAGGCTTTTCCAAGTACTCAAAGGGAAATGAGTGTTGTGATGTAAATATTTGGTCACTGCAGCTGTAACTGCATCAGGGGGCACCCCAAACCCGGAGATGCTGTGACTCTTGTAGACGCAGAGGTACTGCCTTGATGGTCTTGGGTAAGATCCGAGAGAATTCCCTGGATTACCAGGCAGAGTCTCTTGTTCTCTTCCCTTACTTTCAAATAAATGGTGTCTCTCTCCATGCTGAGCTGCCTGGAGTTGGGAGAGGAGTGACACAAGCACCCCTGTGGCCACCACTGCTGGAACTGTGCTGTGTCAAACCTGAAGCCAGCACAGTAGTGGGTCTTGCCGAAGGCCCATGGTTACTATTGCCTGATTATTGCTGATGTTTACTCAAAGCCCAAAGGCTCTTTAGTCAGCAGGTGGTGAATCCAGCCAGGCTTGTGTCTTACCCTTTGGGGTGGCAGGTTCCCTTCTGGCCCAGGGTGGGTTTAGAAATGCTATCCAGGAGCTAGGGCATGGAGTCCGGGCTGTAGAAACCTACTTGGTGCTTTATTTTACTGCAGCTGAGCTGGTACCCAAGTTGCAAGACTAAATCCTTTTTACTGTTTCCTCTCTTTTCCTTAAGCAGAAGGAGTCTCTCCCTATGACTACCATTGCTGGGAATGCACTGGGTCACACCTGAAGGCAGCACAGTACTGGGTGTTACTAATGTTTATTCAAGGCCCAACAGCTCTTTAGTCAGCGTGTGATGAATCCTACCGGGAGTGGGTCCTCTCCTTCAAAGCAGCAGGTTCCCTTCTGGCCCATAGTAGCTCCAGAAATATCTGGGAGATAGAGCCTGGCAAGGGGGGCTTCAGGACTCTGTGTGGTGTTTTATTCTACGGTGGCTGGGATGGTATCCAAGCTGTAAGACAAAGTCCTCTTTACTTTCCCCTCTCCTTTCCTCTAAGGGAAAGGAGTCTCTCCTGGAGCTGTGAGCTGTGCTGCCTGGGGTTGGGGTACTGGTGACATAAGCACTCCTTTGGTTCCCCAGCTGGTATCTCACTATGCTGTGTGCCCCCCAACTCCACCAGCTCTGAGCTCAGCACGACACCAGGACTTGCCCAGGAACTGCTGTCTTTGTGGCCTAGACTGCCTTTCAAATTTATTTAGGACTCTGGATCACTTTAGCCAGTGGTGGTTCAGCTCGCCAGAACCTGACCACTGGGATGGATGATTCCCCTCTGGCTAGGGTTTCTCTAAGTGCTTCCTCTGTGGGCACTTGCTGAATTCAGCCCCGAGTTGCTTTCCACGGTGGCAGGGCAGCACTTGGTTCCAATGCAAAGTGCCATAAGCACATTCTCCCTCTGTGCCAGGCAGCCAGCTGCTGCCAGAGGATGAGGGAGGGGTGGTGGT